CAATCAATCAATCAATCAATCAATCAATCAATCAATCTCTCTCTCCTTCCTTCCTGCCCTCCCTCCCTCCCTCCCTCATTTGAGACTGATTAACATGATAAAATAACCCCTACTGGAAAGTTATGCATCTGATAAGTTTTAAGAAGATCCACACACACACACACCCGCCACTTCAAATATAATTCATGCTTCTGACATGAGTGGACAGATAAATGTTTTCCCAAAGATTGTAAACTTGAAGATAGGAGTATATGTGCTAAATAAATCAATAATATGGAAAACAACTTGACCTTTTTGTGTGTGTGTGTCCCTTCGAGTCAGCTTTTTGATTCCTGGCAACAGCCTGGAATAGTCCCTGCAGTTTTCTTGGCAAGGTTTTTCAAAAGTGGTTTGCCCTTGCCTTCCTGGTAGGGCTGAGAGAGAGTGACTGACCCAAGGTCACCCAGCTGGATTTGTATCTCAGGCAGGACTAGAACTCACAGTCTCTAGCCTGGTGCCTTAACCGCTACACCAAACTGGCTCTGATCTATTTTATCATGTATTTATTTAGCATGCTATCCCACTGGCTACCACTATGCCTCAGCAGCTTTTAATAAAATAAAAAAAAAATTAAAATTGAGTTAAAAACAGTTAAAATAGCAATTAAAACAAGTTAATTGAAAATTTTAATCATCATTTTACTCTATGTGAAACTCTATAGGAAGTTAAAACTATATGAAAATATTGTCTTTTTAAAGGCATTTTTAAAAGCTAATAAAGATGCTGGGCCCTCAACACTGCAGGCCATGCTGGTTAGCAACCAAGAAGGCTTAATCTTGATTTAGCACCAGACAAGCTCACAGCAACTGTAGACAAACCTCCTCAGGTGATCTCTGTAAGCATGGAGGTTCATATAGGAAGAGGCAGGAGATCTACATACTGACATGACATGGAGCAGGTTCTTGTCCCAACCATCAAAAGCTTATGATGCACAGAGAAGGCTAGGAAATGTGAAGGGTAATGATACAGGCTGTGGGGCAGATTGTTGAACATGTAATATAAACATGTAATATAAGGTCATTTTGGGACTGCTGGTTCCAAAAGTAGCCTCATTTCTTTTTTAAAGATAATTTTAGTCTAAGAAAAGGAGAACCCACGGCTGTAACTTTGAGCAAAAATTCAGGAACAGGGATTTCAGAGTTGGAAACATTGATATATATATAAAATGGGTTGATATTTGTAACTCTACTCAAGATGGAAAAAAAACCCTTACTTCTGAAATATGTACTGTATAATGAAGCCAAATTTAACTTACCAGAGAGGTGGTTACCATTTCTTCAAACCATTTTGACTGAGCTTGGTTATACAAATCCACACAACGCATGAGATCATCTCCTACAAAAAAAAAATCCCCAAACCACCATGTGAGTTCTTCTTGTAATTCATCCACCTACCCAAAGGACACTTTAGCATTACTAACAGTGCTCCTATGATTTCCTTTTTCCATCTTTCCTGGGGTTGTACTGCAGCTGTGCAAGGCAACTGCACTATCCTGGTGAAAGAGGCTGCTGCTTTAAGGAAATGCTACGTGACAAGACAGATGTTACATAACCACCCCCATGCATACCAACACACTGTTCTGCCTTTGAATAAGAAGCACTGCACTGCACAGCCCTAGTAGCTAATTCAAATTAATTAAGAAGAAAGCAAAAATGAATCTCTTCATCCTTAGCAGAAGTGAGAAAGTTATTAAGAAACATATTGCAGATTCAGCTGGCTGGTCAGTATGCCTCATTAACTTCATATTAAGAATGTTTAAGAGAAGATGAAGAAACAAACTTCAATTCCCTCACTCCCTACCCTTTTTCCCCTCCAAGAGGATCTCCCTTGGAATCCCTGGCCCTAAAATGATGAAAAGCAATATTTGACTACGAATGGAAAAATATTATTCCCTTCCTTTGGAAATTCCAGTGTACAAATTACATCCTAAAGTTTACTGATCAAATTATATGTTTCAAAGAATCCTCAGGTGAACAGAGCAGATCCAACTTCTACATGGAAGTTGAATATGACATCTTTCTGCAATTTGATTGCATACTAACTATTTGTGTGCAGTGGTTTACTAATTCAAAATAAGAAAACAGTCAGTCAGTAATTTATAACACCTTCTTGGGCAGAAATAGTAACTTCCAAACATTTCCTGTAGCCAACTAAAAGTCCTTCTATTCTCGCTTTTGGATTTTTTCCCCTACTCTTCCTTGCAAAATTACACATAAATAGTAAGGATGTGTTCAGATTTGCAGAAAGATGTCCTGTTTCAATCCGTACCTCAACCATGTACAGGTTGTGTCAGCTTCTGTTCACTTCAGGATTCAACAAAACATACAATTTGACCAGCAGTAACTAAACTTTGCATGTAAATGTAAACAGAGGCACATGTCAGAAAACAAAATGGGAGGAAAATTTTACTGAGAGTAGATGAATCTTCACTCAGGTTTGCATATTGGCAATTTTGCCACTTGAAAAAACACACTTTTCAGTGGCTTTTGTATGCTTGTCTCTCTCTAACCCAGCAATTCAATGAGTCACAAATACTCCACTCAAACAGAGCAGTATATTAATTGAGTTTAAATACATATGTTTTATAGCAAAGTTGACTTAGGTGGTAATTTGAATATCTCTCCTGCCATCTACTGTACAATGCAACCAGTATAAAGTTTTTATAAAAGCAAATATAAGTAATTTTAAACTGAAACATGTAAAGGCTAGCTCCAATTCTGTTTGTCACATGGTCAAAATAAATACATAAAAAGAAAAGACCCTAAATCTTTATGGTATCAAAAATGCTCACATTATTCAATTAATTGACCAGTTTTAAGAAGTATCGGCAATGACATCCATTGGGCTTGCCTTTTGCAGCTGGTGTTCTCCAAGTATGTTGGGCTTGGAGAGTCTCAGATCCTAGCTGATAGGACCAAGGCCTTGCTGTCTGGGAGTATAAGGTGAAGATTGTGCTGGACTCATGTCCTGTAATACTGGCCACTTTTCCTTAATTTCCTTACATACATGTTAAAAGTGAAAACATAGAATAGTAATCATGGTCTTTGTTAAAGAAAAATAACCTAAATCCTGGAACCTATCAACAGAGCCAGAAGGTCCAAACTGATAGAGCAAGTCTGCTTTATCATCAAACAAAATGCTAATAAAAAGTTAAAGCATGCAGTTTTGATCAATGCCAAAAAGAAGAATCACGCTCTTCTTCCTAGCTAAAATAATAGCAGGTTATATTATACCCAATTTTCCCTTTGACATTCAAATTTTCTTTTTTCCATTTCTTTTTACCACACAATAACCTCATTCTACATACACTCACCAGCTTGAGTAGACTTCCGCCTGGCCTTTTTAATTTCCTCTTCTGTCTTGTTGCTCAGTTTTATCTCCAACTGCTGTGTTTTCATCTCTAAATCCTTTTGCCTCTCTGTTAATGCTTTTCGAGCCTTGAAACAAACCAATAGTCATAAATTTCTCCACAGAAAGAAATATCTATCTGCCTTTTCCTTTCCGTAAGATTTATCACTGCAAAAATGGAACATGTGCTGTTGCTGGATGACTTCTGCAGCTAGGACATCAACAAAATGCACAAGTGCATTATCTCCTGGCTGAGACCTTGAGCACCATAGTTTAACTATAACTATTAGGTAACAAAGTACCACCAATGTCTGAAAAATGGCGTACAAGTAGGCAGTATCTATGTGACACTATTCTTGGGAAACCATCCTATTTTATTAGACAACTTAAAACATTGCTGCATAGATTATATTAACCTTCCGCAAAGTGGTGCCTTTCAGGCAGGGCTGACCCAGGACCTTCTGCTGGCCAAAGCAAATAACAAAATGGTACATCCACTCATTTCATTTATCATAGTTGACCAAACTAGTAATTAAACATATTCAGTATTGCTTATAGGGCAGCATCTAGAACAGACTAGGCAGTGTGGCACAAATAATCTTGCCCTCCAATCTCTATTCTGGCACTTTCTCTGCTTCCCAGGGTAACTGTGTCATTCTTTCTACTAGTATGGCCAGCCACACCATTTGTAGTGTTGGTTTACAACCTGAAAAACCATCTTCTTACAATCAAGGAGATGGGAGATTACGTCTGGAAGGGAAAGCTAGACTACACACTGTATTTTTTCAGATACAGATCTCTCTCTCTCTCTCTCTCTTTCTCTCTCTATCGCAAGCTTTTGAACATGCATACTAGGTTCTCTTACATATGAGAAATTCTCACCTTTTCCACTGCTGCATACCTACTAACCAACTGTTTCCGCAAATCAGCAATATGATGGTCATACTTTTTCATGTCTTTCTTGAAGTTTTCGCGGAAGTTGAGCAGAGGTTTTTCCACTTCAGCCTGGAGCTGGCATAAAGGAGGAAAAAGAGAAATTTAGTTTAAGAAGTTTTAGATGCCAGGAACTCGGGGGTGGAAGAGAAATACTTTGATTTAGAGTGACAGAAATGGGAGGAATACTTTCTTCCATTTTGAATTTTAGCTCCAATTAGTTTCTCTCCATTGTGGGACAGCAATTAGCTTTTAGTGATCTTGGCTAAAAGCTAATCTCAGTGAGTCAGACTGGTTGGTATTTGAAAACTAGGAAATCCCAGTAATATGAACTAGAGAGGAGTAAAAACAAACAAACAAAAAAACCCAGCCCAAACTATTTCTATATTACTGTCATGAAAACTACATGGACAGGTGCCTGAAATTACCAGGAGTTGAAGTTAAGCTGAAGGAGAGGAAGAGGTACACATTTTAATCTGGAAAATGCTGAAGAAAGTGCAGGAAAGGGAGAAAAAAGGTAAGCAATATAATCATGGATTTCTCTATCATATCTGTTTTGATCCTCAGATATAATCTGAGTGAAGCAAACACTTCAAATCAGGAGAGGAAAAAAGATTCCTGAAGATTTCCAAGCAGCTGCCATTTCCATAATGAGAGATGTCTGAATTGTCTGTCTTTATATGTGTTGTGGGGGTGGGGGAAGGGATAACAAATTCTAAAACCAAAAATGAGCCTTTAGGATACTGTTCTTTTGATTCCTGCCACTTAGCATAGACCATTCTAAAAATTCAGCATTTCACATAGGAATCAGTTATTTTCTTAACTGTAGCTTATCTACAATCAAAATTGAATCAATACGTTTATTTAGGGCTTAGTCCAAATATCATCCAATTACATAAACTATCCAAGATTGCAATCTTGTACATTATGGTGAAAACAGAAGAGGTCACTTACCCAATAACTGGCCAGTTCTTACTACTACTGCTACTACCACTATTACTATTATTATTAATACCTCTACCACCACTAGGATATTAGTTTTGGAACAAGACTGAAGAAATGATATTGTCCAGTCAGTGATAAACATTACCACATGCTTAAATTTATTCTATCACAACCAATAACTCCTGGGAATACCTTAATTTGTCTAGATCAGGAATGAACAACTTGCAGCTGTAGGAACTCATGTGCTAATTTTACGCCGCTCTTAGCTTAATTTCAAACTCCCAAATGCAAGAGATCAGTAAGGCCTCTGGCAATAACTATCTGTCCCTTTTTCCTGCTCGGGAGCAAGCAAAAGAGGGGTCAGGAAGTTAAAAAAAAATGGGTTGCTAGAGAATGGATGTTTCCCTCCCATTACTTGTTTCAAAGAGAATGTGACCCTCAACAGAAAAAAGATTCCCTGCCCCTGGTACTGTATAGATCACACCCAGAGTCTGCTTATAGCGTTTAATTAGAAAACCATGGCAGAACTCTAGAGCACATGCTTGGACACAGAAGGTCCCAAGTCCAAACTCTGGCGTCATCACAGGAAAGATGGAAAAAGCAATTAATGTGAAAGGTCTTGGTTAAAGAGCCACTGCCAGTTAGAATACACCTATTACCAAGATGGGCAAATAGTATAAGATAGCTTCCCATGTTCCAGCGTGGGGGCCATAGCAAGCATTTGCCTAAATAGCTTTCTTCTTTTTCTCCGGAGTCATATTTGCCCATAATGATCCCACAAAGTACTGTAACTTTTATGCAATGTCATTTTCAATAGAACATTTTCAAAGAATGAAACCAGCTGATCTCAGGATCATAAAAAACACAATTTAATACCTTAGAGGAGAATTTAAGATGAACCTCTGCCTCATCAGCCATGCTTTTTTTCAGTTGAGACCAGGATTCACCGAGTGTCCTGCAATGCATAGCATAGTACAACATCTGGTTAATCAGAAATGCACTTCTCCATTAGGATCTGAAACTCATTATATCTAATAGGAGGAGCTTTCCATGTTCTGAATGTAGTGGGAAGTACTGCTTTCCAGAGCATGGGTCCAAAGCACAAAATTTAACATTACTCTCCATAATTTCTCTCTCTTATACTCCTAATTCAGGGAAGTCATGATCATGCATATCTTTAGAAAATTCTCACCCAACCCTCAGTATTAATAAATTAATCTCACAATATTAGGCTTAAAATTAACATTTATTTCAAATAAATCATCACCTTTTCTGTGTTCTTAGTTATAGATTTAGCAGAGGAAACTAATGACTCCTGAAATGACTCCTGACAGGCGATTTGTGTGAATAAAAGTACCAAAAGTTAAATCTAACATGGGCTTAAGCAGGTCATGTGAATTAGCTATAAAATGTTAATTAACTCCAGAGAATTTCTCTATAAAACTCCTTTACATTTAGGCTTGAGGATTCCTTACAGGGATGGTCCTTAATTGTTTTAACTAAAGAGTGTGTTTTGTTTTGTTTTTCTTTTTGGTACAATCATATACAAAATTTGAAAATGTAAAATGATTGAAAATAAATCACAAAAAACACAGGAACTTAATTTGCTCTGATAACTGAAAAGAAACTAGACTTTTAAACTTTATTAAATTTGTTAAATGAACTTTTAGATCCCCTAAGCATGAGGGTCTATAAACTTGTGACCACTGATCTAGTATAATTCAGCAGCTAATAATAGAAGTTACAAATCTATGGAATCAAACTTCACCTGTCTTATGAACATATCATAAACATACCAAGCAAGAGTTTAGCATATCTGGGACATGCATTATAATATTTAGCAAGTTACTGATGCTTTGAACACATGTAAGCACACACATATCCATCCCACCCGGGACATTCTTTTTTTGAACTATTACCATCTGGCAGATGGTACAGGATAATAAAAACAAGGACAAATAGGCTGAAGAATAGCTTTTATCTA